CACATACATACATACATACATACATACATACATACATACACACACACACACATATACATATATACACATATATATAAAAACAAGAGGCTTGTTTATACTACCCAGCAAAGAAATCATTTTGTACGCTTAATTCTGTAGGGTTATTTCTGACACAGAGGTCCAGTTTGTGTGTTATGCTATTCCATGGTTCTCTCAGCCTCCTGTTCTGTTGGAATTGCAGGAGAACAAAAAGATTTATTATAACTGTGACTAATCAAAAACAGAAGTGAAAGCTTGCTCTCTCTTCCTTGCAACTGAGCTGGAGGAACTGATGGAAGGAAAATGTGCAAACTTGAGACTGGTTCACACATCATTCTAAACTGGGTTTATTTTAACCAATGTTTGTTGAAAAAGCCATATTGGCCCCATTCCCATATCATGTTAATCCAAAACCAAACATATCACATTACATCACAGTGTGAACCTTGCTACTGTGGCTGCTGTGTGAAACCATGGTTTATTGTCATGACTGCACAACCATGACCTTCATGTTATGAAGTATTTACATACAGCTATGTAATCATTTTTCACTCTGAGGTTACAGGGGCTCTATCTTCAAACTATGTCCAACCATGCAACTCACCCAACTCATCAAAATGTGTATCAATGCCATTCATCCCTGGTACAGAGCATATCAATCTGCTTTTGAGGAAAGTAGTCCATTTATTGACCAGCATCCTTTGTCCGCCCATGTCATTCTGGAGAAGCAGAAGCGAGAAAGAAAGTACTTTTTTCAGAGCCAGATTAGACTCTGTTAATCTGCAGAGTCCTGATCCATTCCCATAACATGACTGAGTCCACCCATTTTCTGGTTTAGCACAATGCACCATACCACAAACTAATCTAAGCTGCATGCATACACAAAAGTTAAAAAACTAACCTAAGTATCTTGTGTGAATGCAGATGCTAGGTCCTCATATGATTTGTTACCTGATCATAGCCATGTTGTGGCACTGCAGTCAAATGATTCTGACTGACTGCACTGTAGTGTTTTAAAGTTCTAAGAGCAGCTATGGAATCTGGGTTCTGAATTTCTTCCATGCAAATTTCCTGTTTAAATTGTGCCTCCACAGGACCATACTAGTTACAATTAATCATGCAGAAACCATATAGACTTTGCCTTACGGGGCAAAGAGCTTGGTGGCAATTTAAATCCCTGAGTGCCACAGTCTTGATCAAGCAGAAAGACTTACACTGACTGCTGTGACATTATAAGAATCACATGAGATTCAGTTTCCAGATCTCCTCTGTCACATTCAAATGTGGTTCAAAGAGCTCTGGAACAAAAGCACAGGCTGCTTTAGCAGCTTCCTGGGTCAAGTGCTCAACAAGTGAAAACAATACTCAGCATAATTATTGCAAGTTTCTAAATAGGAATAAAGAGAAAGAGAATTGTTTTACTGTCACTTCAGCCCACCATGCTATCTTAATATCTAGCACCCAACTGTGAGAATAGAAAGAGGCTGGAAGTGCAACTACCATACTTCCAGGTCACATCCTGTCACCTATCACACTTCTCTACAGCTGGGAAGGAGATATAACTGTCCTTCTTCCTGCATGATAGAGAAGGATGAAGAGCAAGAAGCAAAGGTCAGATGTGGTTCTTGTCCTATTATCATATCAAAAATGGACTCACAGATTACAACTTAATGAAAGATCTGCATCAAGCCAGCAAACAATAGGCACTATTTCATTTATGTTCTGATCTAGACATCAGAATGATTCTTGAAATTGCCTCCATTTGGCAACTTTCCCTGAACAACTAAAATAATTTGTAAAACTGTTTCCTACCTTATTAGTTTCCATGGACAACGTAAGAATCTCCCTGCAATCAACAACCACTCTCAATAATGTTAATGATAAGGTGGAAAATCTCCAACTAGTTAAGATAGATGACTATCTTAACTAAACCAAATTACTATACACATTCTAGATTCTACTATTATACTGACTATAATATGTTATAGAATGATTCCTACACTAAAGTAATTTCAAGTGGTGACTATAACATGTTATGGATGCACAAAGTGTTTCATATACAGAACAGCTGGTTAGGGGTGTCCATGCTGAATGGAAATGTGTATTTCACATATTTTGATGCATTTATAGAATGAAATAGGCTGTTTCGCACTAGATATAGATTAAAATGTGATTGGCAGAAGAAGGTTAGGCAAGTTCTGCCAAGTAATCTGTTTTTTAATAAGTTGGGATTGCTGTTTATGGCCTTGGATTGTTTATATTGCTGTTTTTAACTTTGTACACTGCCCAGAGCCATCATCATGAGATGGGTGACCATATAAAAAGGAAGGAAGGAAGAATACAAGGCAAGGTGTTCCTTAGAGATGCTGCATGCTTATGATGTTATAACATAATGAAAACTAAAAAGGGGAGCCCCATGTCTCTTGTGGGACCAATGTGATGCTGGAGATGCCCTATGTGCCACCCATGACCATCAGAGGACTTGCCCCATACCCTCTTTTGCCACCAGGATATAGTGGTAGTGGCACCTGAGGAGAGGCAGGAGATGGCAAGGCAAGGCAAGGCAAGGCCAGGACAGGCCCTGGGACACTGATGGGATGGATAGGCTGGTGGGATATGCTGCCCTGTTCAGCCCATCACAATATAAAATGGTGCTTAAGCTTGGTAGAATGTGAGGAGGGAGGGTTACCTCCGGCATGGTGACCCACTTACTCCATAAAATCACTCCTAGTTTTCTTTCAGGTGAATCCCAGAACAACTAAAATGTTCCGTCTTTTTCTACCAAACTTTGGCTCATCTGGAAACAGTTTGGCAGAACTTCTGGAACATGATGACTTCTTTCAGGTTTGGGGAAAAAAAGGTTCAATTTTCTGCATACCCATATATAGGTAGTCCTCGCTTAATGACTGTTCGTTTAACAACTTTTCAAAGTTATGACAGCCTTGGAAAGGGTGCTTTATGGCCCATAAAGCACTTCCAACTGTCATAAAATGTTGCGCCCCTCCCGTGGTCACGTGGCCACATTTCAGGTGCTTGGCAACAGGCTCGTATTTACAACCGGTTGCTAAGTGCCCCACAATCATGTGATCACCATTTACAATCATCTCTGCTTGCTTCCCCATTGGAAGGCAGCAGGGAAGGTTGCAAGCAGAGAGGATGAGATGGTGTGAAAGAACGGACCTCAAACCTTAAGGATTTGAGCTCTGTAATTGCCCACCTCTGGGAGGTTTCCCCTCCCCTCTCAGTGGTGGGCAGGCATGGAGCTCAAATCCTGAAGATAGGATTTCCAGCCCCATCCACAGAGTGGGGGGCACACCCTTTGGCAGGCTTTAGGAATGTTTGAGAGCAAAGGGCTGACTGCTGGGAGGATTTCAGCCCCATGCAAAGCTGAAATCCTTCAGCAGACAGCTCTTTCGCTCTGTCCACTTAATAACCTGGTAGATTGCTTAATGACTGCAACCAGGAGTGCCCGGGTTGCAGTTGTTGAGTGAAGCAGTCATGTGGGCATCTTGCTTAATGACAGCTTCGCTCAGTGACTGAGATTCCAGTCCCAATTGTGGTTGTTAGGCAAGGACTACCTGTAAGAGCCATTTTATTCTCAGGATCTCATATTTCAATCTGTTATTTTTCACTATATTTATCAACTCTGAAACACATCTGTCTCCTATAGGTTATGTCAAGAGTCTATATTTTACCTAGACGTTAGAGAGCAACTGTTATTCTTAGCTAAAGATGAAGTTTTGGTAAATATTTTAATTAAATCATGGGTCAGCTATCTTTAAATATTCAGATATATTAATTCTTTTAAATTGATTACTCGGTGTTGGCAACTGAAGCAGACAAATGTGTTAGCCAGCTAAATTCTTTGTTTTATTAATCACTTTGTTAGATCAGTAAGATTTGGACATTTTTGATTTCAGAACTCTTTTTTTCATGGAATTCATTCTGAAGCTGATGTTCTGGTATCCTCATTTTACTAGAGTCTAAAGTTGTATTGGGTAATGCAGATAAATGAGGACTAGAAAATATATATTCACAGTTTATATTTTTCTGTATAAAAAGAACTGTATGGCTGGAAAATTGTCTTGCCTGCCTCCTTTTCTACAATCCCTCTTTTCTTAAGGTGCAAACAGATACAGGCATGCTTTTATTACACTGGATTTCAATAACTTAAAGGCTGAACTGGAAATACTCAACTATGCAAGCGGGCATCCAGTGCCAGCAGTGAATGATGCAATTGAAGAGCCCACAAAATATTGTCAAAAACCATGCCTATCTACACAGATACACAGATATATATACACACACACAAACACAAAATAGCATCTGTCTTCAACTTTACAGCTTCTGCACAATGTCAGAAAAGACATGTGCTTTTGGGACTTCTGGGGGAGGTATGGTGAACTGAAGATGGCTCTGTGAAAGTGGAGCCAACAACTGCAGCAAAGACCAAGGAACCAGTGAGTAGACCGGTCCCTTGGAACTACTCTGGCTAAGGAGAGGACAGGAGATTGTCTGCATGTGTTCTAGGAGGCTGCAAGACAGTGGCTTTCTGTAGGTTTGAGTGCTGAGAGATAACAGGATTAGCCATCTTGATTTCAAGCCTCACATTCTAATCACTTTGGAAACTGGTCATTATTTCTAAGCTATTAGAGACCTTCAGAATGACAAGTCTGAAAACACCAGGTGAGTCTGCCTTCAGTCCTGAACAAAAGAAAATTTTAATCATAAACTTAAGAATTTGAAGAATCTGAAATAAACAGCAAAAAGCTAAATAAGATTTTGATCTTAGAAAGTTCTAAACGGACCAAGGATCCAGATAAAATTGGAATATTGAAACTTTTACAATAAGACTTTGGAATTAATTATATAACAGCTTCTCATTGGAAATAGATCTGTTCAAGACATAACAGAGATAAGCAATTTCATGATTTCAAAAACTGGACACGAGGGAACTAAAGATTTTAGGTAGAGGAAAGTTTTACAAGCCTGTAAAATGTTGCAAAACATTATAACAGTAAAAATACTGAAGGAGATTCTTGAAGAAAACAATAGCCACAGCGTCAACAATGTCAGTAATGATGTTTGCTTCTATGAATAGACTTTGTCCAAAACATGTTATTGCAGAAATATCAGATGTATAACAAATTTTATCTGACAAGATAGAGATGGTATTGAAAGTGGATTTACAACTGACAGGCCAAGAGAATGACTTAGAAAAGGATATTTCACTGGACCTACAAAAGAAATTGGCTCAGGTTTTAAAGTTTAAAAGGAAATACAAACGGCAAATCAAGAGAGTGACCTGGATAATTTTTTCCTGTTGAATTTATAAAAGAGGCTTGTTAAAGCCTTGAAGAACTCTGTGTGATGGGACAAAGAAGAAATGAAGAG